ATTCTCTTAGCCTGTTTCTTGTTTGATGTCGAGAATCAAAAGAGAAACTTTTCAGAAAAAAATATCAACTTGAACAAGTGAATCCAGGTAATAATAGCCATGTAATGCTGAAGTCATTTTTTCTAAGTGACAGACACATACATAATCAGTCATTTTTTTTTATGATACCTACTAAATACTCGATAGGTTGTACCGTGAAAGACAAATACGTTTATTAACCATCCAATATAAGCAATAAGCGAAAAAGGAGGATAAGCAAAGATCGGCTTTTGAGCATATTCACTAATTAATTCATATCGTTGATAACGCCAAAAATATTCATTCTTCACTTGAACATCACTGATCGAAAAGCTAAACACAATCGAAATACTGAATTTGTTATTTTTCAATTTCAAAACATACTTAAAAACGGCAATAAGTAGATTTAGAATCAGAATGTTAATGAGAAGCATATGAAAAGCAAAGAGTACATGATTGACAGTAGCTTCTGAAACTTCTTCCGATGTAGTCGCATTAGAGATAATGCCTTTAAAAACCTAAATATGAACTTAATGAAGATGCAATTGTATAATTTACCATCAAGATTATTTTTCTCGCCGTCCACAATTCAAAATAAGAACCAATAAGGTTCATAGAAGATAGCCGTAAAGATACTCTTAGCAGTAAAATCTAAAGTGTTATACGAAGTCAGAGCACGTGACACTGCACCATAGGCAGCGATACACACAAAAATGATATAAATGAAAGCAGTCAGATCAAGTAACTAGCAACATGAATCTATCTATATTGAACGAATAACATACTTTTACTTAATATATTTTGAATCATGAAGAGTTTTGATCCTAGAAGTTTAATAGCGCTAACAAAGCGTAATGAGAATAGATACCAAAGTTCAAGATCAATGGCTAGAATAATTCTATGAATAATCATAATTATATAAGAACAGAAACGTAAATTAAGCATTTTCATACCGAGCAGCTGTATATAAGTCACGTCGGCTAGTTGACTGTAAGTGACATATTATACCAATGTAAAAAAGAATATATGGTATTGAATAAACAGGTGCTATCCATAATGTTGGCCAATGCCAACTTTCTAACATTTGTGCGTGATAATCGACAGCAAGCTATAATGAGTAAACGTTAGAGCCATTTTAAATGTATCATGATCAAAATGAAGAAAATTTTTTTCGACTCACTTGGCGAAAATCTTCAAGAAGCAATGCCGAAACAGTAATAATCAAATAAATTTCTGTCCAATGGATTGAACTTTCATCGAATCTCATTTTAAATAGCATCATATAACTGAACACCAATAGAAACCACCAGTAGATCACCCAGACAAATATAAATATTTGTTCAATTACAAGTTAATTTTATATTTACAACTCATGAAATGGTAGCTCATTTTGACTGCAGGAGCTGAATGGAAATACAAAAATTTATCCCAGTAATTCGGAGATGATTTTCTCTGATCTTCGATTCCTTTCCATCGAAAATGTACTCATATGTGAAATATTGATGTCTTTTCGAAGTATAAGGAGATAAAAAAAAACTACCTTTGAGAACGTTCTTTAGTGGAGCCATTCATCTCAAACTACAATGACAATTAGCAAGGTATTATAAAATGGTATGGTTGACTCAAAACACAACTTTACATTTTTCTTGTGTTGTTCTGTCAATAGTATCTGCTCGACGATATATCATTAAGAATGGCGCAGCCACTCCAAGTGTTATCAGGCTCACCAGGAATTCGATTTTTGATTTTGGTGATTCAATTGCATTGCCACCCAATTGACCGAACCATTCTTTGTTAAGAACTTGGTGGAAACAATTTGTGTTGATAAATGGGATATTACCAGATGCAATGGCTATCTGATATGACATATCAAATAATGAAATCATTAGGCAAAATCTATCTACGAACTTGCATACAGGTCACAGCTCCAAATAATGAGTTTTCACGTAAAAGGAGCTGGCAAGCTAGTTGTTCATCATGCTTATAACAAGCTGTAATACAAACCCTTGCGTATTCTTCATAATTTTTTGCCTGTTGATCGAATGTATGCCGCAAGTCCAAATGACTAGCAAACAACGAAAGACGCCGAGCTATGCTCGCGGCAATTAGTGCTGCACTGATTCGTGATTCTAGTTGCAGTAAAAGGACGAAAGCGACACCAGAATAGCCCGCATATATACTCCATAAGAAAAGGTTACGCAACATTTCATGCTTGTCAAAATGTTTATCAGAGTAATACTGCGAGCAGAGATTCTTGAAATCGCTTATTTCCTGTGACTTATTATGCATTTCATTGAAACGACGGCGATGAAACAACAACTTAAAATCTAGTAGCACCCGCTCAGGCATTCTTCTCTTAAAATAGAATGACTTAGTGTATGGTCCAATTAGTTGAATATAAGTTTCATCGAGTTACTGCATTGTTCTTGGAACGATCCAAAACTAGAAAGAGAACACGTTGGTATGGTGAGAAAGTGTCACAAACAAGATTAGATCTTACATCAGAAGGTGCATCGATAACCTGGTAGAGTTCATCAATAATAAATTTCAAAGCACATGCAACGCGTACCTTCTCTGTGAAGATGCTGCTCTCTTCCGGTTGTCTTTACCTTAATCAAGCTATGTTCGAACGTAAATTGGATCTGGTATTATTTTGTGTCAAGTATTTCTTGTAACTAGAAGATCAAATTAGTGGCGATGTAACTAAATAAATGATTATTGAATATTCATTATATACTTAGTTGTTTCAAGAGGATCATGATATCGACGTACAAAGTAGTCGACAAATACCCGGTCGATTTTCTATAAGTGCTTGTTGGAACAAGCCAGAATAGAGTGTTTGATCATCCTAATGAAAAATTCAAAGATCATTACAAAACAAGAATAATGATCATTTTAGTACAATGTTTTTTTCTGAACTAAATGTTCAATATAAGAAAACTCAATCGACATGCCTCTAGACGTTTGGACATAGTTTGTGCTCTATGTACATAATTCCAACTGACAGCTAGCTTCAAGAAGCTTTGTTGTTGTACTGGGTTGACTTAAACTGAAAATAAATTATAGTTTAAATCCATGACTAGAAACTAGACAGATAGTTCTACCATTATCTACAGCTTTAAAAATTGTATCAGTAAGACAAGTGTCACGCTCTAGTTTCAATATACTTAGATAATTACGATGCTCCATCAACATTTTTTTAATACTGGATTTGAAGGCTTTATTCAGGGGTTCTTCAAGGTGTTGCTCGAGTTCAGGAAAAAATGATGCAACTTGAGCTTTCACATCTTTTTCTCTAAAAGAAAAATAGAATTAGAGAAAAACAAAGAAATTTTGTACGAGCAGCTTTTTTTCATACTCAAGTGTGTCTTTTTTGTTTGAAGCTTCGAGTAATGTTCCGAGTACATTCGCCAAACGGCCACTACCATGAATAATAACTACCGGTCGCTTGCTTTCTAAATCGTATCGAATGACTTGCAGTGTATTGATACCACCCTCAATGATGATCGTTACAGCATGGCATTTCGTCTTTGTACACATAGCCTTGACAAAATCAGCACGAGAACAATCATCAAGATAAACATTCATACGACCATCGTCTAGCAGAAGAAAATGACTATGATATTTGTCAAGTGTTTTTTCTTCGTTCCATTTTAAACTTAGTGATGAACTTTCTCTATCCGTTTGTTTTGAATCGACGTTATCTTCATTACGCAATGTCTGAGAAAAAATGTGCACTATAAGAACAATTACAGTAGTCTAGCATTGATGAATTCTATCTGCGATTTGAGCACATCTTGTGTATGTTCTGTTAACGTGCCCCAACTACTCAATCCAATAATAGTAGGTTTGGATGCTTTTTTGTTTAGCAAGGTAAAACGACGTGCACTCTGTCCTATAAGCTTCGATACACCTTGATTTATGCCTGTCGTCAATAACCATACACCTACTCAATCGACAAACATCAACGTCTTTCCGTGAACTTCGATATAATGCATTCCTTTTGTGCTTGTCGCTTGTGAAATTCCATTCATGAATTCCTTTTCTAGCTTATCAGTCATAACAAAATTTCCAGCTCCACCGAAACAACTAATAAGTAGGTCGGCCTTGGTACGTAAATCTTCAACCACTAATTTTGACAATGTTTTACATATATTCGGAAGGCCTGAGTAACATCGAATGAATTGAAATAAAAACAAAAGTGTGAAAGCATTCGTTCTTGAACTAATATGATTATATAACATACTTGAGCGGTATTTCCAAACTTCCCCTATTGTCCGTAATCAGTAAGTGGTTTTACGACAGTGACAGAGTTCATCTCATCAAAAGTAGTTTCATCAGTATGTTGATTTGGAGCTTGATCCTGAAAACTATAACGACGTGGCAATCGGCCACAAGGACATATCTTTGTTTCATCGTCAAGATTTTCGAGGGATGTCGAGTAGATGTTACATGTTATACACATCAATGAGTTTTCCTTTATTTTTTTCTCGACCAGTTTCTTCCATCTTAATTTTTCATCTTGCTTGTATGGGTTCGTCGAATTCGTCAAATTAATAGTTGTACTAACATGATATGATGGCATTATTCCAGTTTTGAAAAAGAAATTTTGATTTCATCGAAAAATTGTATTAAACGTCACATTTCCCAATACCTAAATGATTTGTTCTGTTTCATTGTGTACAATGAAACGTAGCAATCATAACAGCAATCTTGAAAGCTTTCAAACACTAACTTTTCTTCTGAGAGGTGATTTTTTTAAATTTTTTATTTATTTTGTTTCTTCTCTTTGTGATTGTTTGCTTTGTGTTTAGGCATAAAACATACATTATTCATCACCATTCAACTACAGAACCATGACTTTTCGAAGTATAATGTCTTCTAGTTCATTTCCACAGTTTGAATCTGTAGACAAAGTATCTGAAAAGATACTTCAACACAAGTTGGCTTTAATTATATTCAATAAAAAGTAAGAACTCAAACTATCGAGTTTTTGAATATTTCGTTTGAATTTTTACAACAATAGTTATCCTCATGAACATGATATAGAACACAAATTTAATACATGGCGTGCTAGTTACGAAACGAACAATAATCTGTTTGTCTACAAATGTGTTATCTCAGCCTTTGAGGATCCAATAAAAAAGCACATACAAAATTACAAAATCGCCAACATTCATTTTCTTTCGTGATGGAAAAGAAATTAGTCGAATAGAAGATGCTAATAATGTCAAATCGATTGTCACACTCTCGCCACATGATGTCGAAACAGTTAATCCTAATGCGGAATTGCCAGCAAAGGATGCAGAAGCAAAACTTAAATATTGGCTCAACTATTGTTGTAATGACAAACCATCTTAATCAATAATCTTTGCTGTCCTGAAGAAAAACTAGATATTATGATTGCTTTTTTCCTTTATGAAAAGAGTTTTAATCTGTAGAATTGTCATGTTTGTCATTATTTCTTTCCTCATTCTGATTCCTAACCGTTCTATTGACATTCTTTTTATGAAAACTATTTTTCATGATGCTTTGCATGTTTGGAGAGAAGGGTGTGAGTGAACAGAAGAGCAACAACCACACCTACGCCTCTTTTCATCAATTTTGATTTTCGAGACCATGTAGTCCCGAACCTCAACAACAAATATAAATTACTGTTTGAAATTTTCCCTAAAGCAACTCAAGGGCTATCAAATTAAAGTTAAATGGTCTTGCTTACTTTAGCCAATTTCAAGAAAATGTCAAAATATGAATCATAGAGACTATAAATAAAACGACATGATGATCAAGAGGATACAAAAAGTCCGTATAAGCTAACAGTTTTTAGCAATATTTTGAATAGAAAAAGTTTGGATTTGTCAGTAAAAATCAATGATCTTTCAAACTGTCTAGTTAAAATCTAACAAGAAAATTTATGTTCAGTCAGTACCCAGAAAAATGCTAGATTTTTTCTTAGAACCTCTTTTAATAGTGATTTATTCACTAGTTTACTATAGATTATTCTTGCATTCTCTTATTGTTGACTTTAATTCTAAACTTGGATTTGAACATCATTTTATCATGATCAGGATACTAATATTAAAAAGAAAATCAATATCAAATAAATTCGATAGACTTCCCTTTTACATGTTTTCGACAACTTACTTTCCTACATTTGATGGAAAATGAATACTATTAATTTTGAATGATAGCTTATTTGCTACTCGTTATGTATTTCTTTAGTGTCCTTTCATCTTCAAATATTATACATACACAAAATTTATGAAA